CACTGTATGATACATTCTTGCTTTTTCTTTACTTTAGAATGTGCAAGTTTGCTGTCATTACTATATAAGAGTTTAATTAAAAAAAAGTGTAGAGACTAAAATACAATTTTGAAAAGGATGGAAGAAGTCTAAGAACTAGAAGTGAATAAAATGCAATTAATGCTATTGACAACTTGGCATTGAGGAAGTTATGAAGTAAATAATATGTGGACCCACAAAATTCCATCCCACTTTTTTATAAATATTTGCAATCACAATGTGTGTTTTCTCTTTTTTAAATTAAGTGGATATATATGGATGATATGGATAATCCATTTAAAGCCATCAACATAATTGGGTTTAGATGGTTATCTATTTAAAACCATTGAATTTATTTGGGTCATCCAAATCCATTTAAGTGGATATAATTTGTTGTTTCCCAAGGGCAAAGTAGGAGAATTCAAGTAAATAAAAAAAATTTTGGGTAGCAAAAAGTTTGGATGGGGTTGGCTCTAATCAACACCACGGGTTAGGACATGTTTCTAAAATCATAGATTGTTTACAGGGATTCTTACAGATTACCCATTAACACAACCATACAGGTACATATTATCTACCAACACATCCTTATATTGACAATTGGATTTGAACATACGACCTTTTTGTAAGGAAGTGACCGAAATTTTCTATTCTACATGCTAAAGGTACACAATAAAGATACAAAAATTAGGGGTTAGTATAAAATTCTAGCATTCTCTTTTATCTTCTAAGTTGTAGCATAGAGAATTTACAACTTTTACGGGACAAAATAAAATTGGCTTACATTCTTTGTGTTGTATCCTAAAGTGCATGTAACTGAAGAACCAAAACAAAGAATGAGGGATTGATGTCATATTGAAATCATTTAGGCCTTGTTTTATAATTCAATTCAGCATTTAAACTTAATCTTATAAGTTGCTGATACTTTAGCATAGAGAATTTACTACTTTTATGGGACAAAATAAAATTGGCTTATTCTTTGTGTTGTGTCCTAAGTACATGTAACTGAAGAACCAAAACAAAGAATGAGGGATAGATGTCATATTGAAACCACTTAATCATCATGCTTTCAAACACATTCTAATTCAGATTTTGTACATTTTTAAGGCTTATTTAGCATATGCCAACATGAAAGACTTTGAAGCAAATGACACTTATTCTAAAGGTGTACTGAGTTGGTAACTAGTAATGTACGTATTTAATGATAGATTGGTCATGGAGTTTTGCATGCAAGAAAATCAAGCAACATAATGTGAGTTGACAAGATCACATAAAAGCTATTAATCTAAATTAAATGAGACAATAATAGATATTAACCTTAATATGCATGGTTCCTTGATGAGACTACATCAAAGGTCCTACAAGTTCGACATTTGGCTCTTTATTGCTGTAGGCAACCCTGAAAGAAGGACAAAATAAATGGCTTTTTCGTAATAGACATTCCAAAAAAAAAACATTGACTGCATATATGTTTTGAGCAAAGAACAAGTCTGCCTAGTTATTGAGATTAAAACTACCAAATTTTTGTCCCAAATTGACAAGATAAGAGAGCCCCAAATTAACAAAATTTTATTAACTAGGCAGACTTGTATATTTAATTGATACAAGATTGGGAATGCAAAAACTCTTATATGACCAGAACTGCATATTCGGAGCTAGCCAGTGTCTTCACTTGAGAATAAGTCTTACAATCACGATTTCTTACAATGCAAGAGAGAGAATACAACTTTTTTTTTAAAGCAGGCCTGCAGGCCAACTTTGCATGTATTTCTTAATTTAGATGACAATCAATCCCGGTCAATTGTAATGGATATAAATAAGATGAACAATTTATAGTTTTTTTAAGTCTACATTGTGTCTGAGGGGAATCATAGTTCAGAATATCACAGAAATGGTGACAGAAATGTCTAAAGTTCTGTTATTCACTGCCTTGTTTTCCTTACTAATTCTGTCATCATACTCAAGTTCGATTCCTGACAGCTTCATGTCATCAAACATCTCAGTTCTGAATGTTCTTTTATCTCCCCAACAACTCTTCTTATTTACCCATCGTCGAATCTTGACAGGTGTCGAGCCTGTACAATAATAATTACCTACTCAAAAAAAATACAAATTTTGTATATAGCGGTGAGTAGGGTCGAATCCACAGGAATTGGGGATAATTCGTTTCTTCTAGAGTTCACCGCATTGGGGGTTTTTGGAAAATATAAAATCACTAATTAACTAACTAATGAAACAACTAATAGAAATAAATAAGAATTAATCAATAACCAATACGACTCTAGCCAAAGGTGCAACTTTTCAGATACGATCCATTCAACTGATCATCGATGCAAAGATAATTCAATTACTCATTACTAGATTGGTTATAGTTGTCATATACGCGATAAACGACCAGTCTTTCCTTACTTTTTCGATAGTTAAGGTACGACCATTAACTATTTCTCTAACCAAGAAATAACCCTAGGTACGACCGTAGGATTTAATTACTCGATTGCATTAATAATTAGAAAAACCCAACCCTAACTAACAAACACGCAACGAGGGTTTGTTTAAGTTAGATCATACGTTTCCCTAACATGAAACCAATCACGCTAGTCGCCACTGGTATTAATCAATAGAACAATTACGGATTCAATCAATTAATATGACAGTAGATTATTAGGTTAACTGGAATATCGGGCCCTTGACATTCAAATAACAAAACAATCATAAACAATTAAATCAGGAAATGTACAAATACCAATAAATAAAAGAAATAAGTAAAATAATTAGATCTCACAGATGTTCAGAACCGAGTCCTCAAATTGACCTTCGACTAGAAAAAGGAGCTAGTTCATCTTCATGGAGGAAATCCCATGCAAAAGTGCAGAAGTAATTCTCTGAAACAAAGCTATGTTTTTGTCGTCCTCATCGAAGAGACGGCAGAGAAGAAAACCCAAGAATATTAAAAACGAAGGAACTGCCCCCTAAAAACTAAAAAAACAAAGTTCTCCTGTTCTAAAACCAAACTACTACTTGTCTCGTGGTCCCCGCCGAGATTCCCCAATCAAAGTACAAAAAGGTAAGGCCTCTTAATGTTTCCTCTTTTCTCGTTTCTCATTGCTCCTAGGACTCCTAGGATTCAAGACACTCTTCATCAGCAAAAGAAATGCAGTCCGCGTATATCACCATGTGGGCCAGGTCTGTGGCTTATTTGAAGTCTCAATTGTCTCCAGAAAGTCCCTCCTTTTTTGTAGTTTTCTGCTTCACTCCCTGAAATTGGGTTCAATACCAAATATAAGTAAATATTAATAATTAAAACAATATTTGGCAAGGATAAAAGGGAAAATTAACAATAAAATTACTAACAATTAACACCCTATCAAATCTTCAATCCAAAATCTTAGGTTCTCTGTATCAAGGAAAAAACAAAACCTTTGGCAATAATGACAGGTTGTCGATGCCCGTGTAATAATAAAAATAAATCTAGTTGCCAATTAAAGTAATCAGAACCCGATTCTAAGTACTGGAGTAGGGACTCTAGGTGTGCAATGGGTTACTTGATTCACCCTGTTCCCGAAGAGTTTGCTTAATCCGATATACCAGAATGGGATTGCTTATTCACGAGGATTTATTGATTTGTATAAAGGGCAAGTAGGGTCGTCTCTTCAGGGATTGGGGGTATTTGTCTCTTTTGAAATTCAAAGTAACAAGGGGGTGATTTTGTATAAAAGATGCCAATTAAGACAGTTCGAATAAAAACAAATAGCTAACTAAGAATTAAACTACAATTCACTAAAATCAGAGTAATATTAACTAAAGGTCTAGTCAAGAAATAACTTCAGCAATGGTTCATCTAATTGATCATCGATACAAAGGCAACTCCAATTATTTACTAATAAATAGGTTATAATTGCAAAACGAGCGACAACAATCAACCTCTCCTTACTGTGTCGGTCATTAAGGTACCCCCGTTAATCATTGTTCTAATTGAGAAATAATTCTAGGTATGCCAGTAAGATTTAATTTTTCAATTGCCTAACGTATTAGAGAAGTCCTATTCTAACCAAATAACACGTTACCAGAGTTATTTTAAATTAGCCCGCATATTCTCCTAACAGAAACCCAATCATGCCAGTTGTCACTATTTCAAGGCAATTAAACAATTACGAATTTAATGCCCTAATTGACAATAGATTACTAAATCAATTCACTATCCGGATCCATGATAATCAATCAATTAAACAACCATAAGTGCTGCAAGCAGAGAATATGCGAATACCAATAAATAAGAGAAAAAGATAAAATTAAATTGATCTCACAATTTTTAGACGAACCAAAGCCTCCGTTGTTTCTTGACTAGAAAAAGGGATTTAGTTCATTCCTGATAAGAAAAACCCACACAAAGCTGTAGAGAAAGTAGCAGTCATTGTCCTCCGATTGAGAAAGCTCAATTCGTTCGATTAATCAAAGAAAACGTAAACTACAGAGAGTGATTAAGTCTTCCAATTGCTCCTGACATGTGAGAAGAAAAGCTACTAAGAGACCAAAAGAAAAGTCAAAGTTCTCAAACTAAAGTAGTCTCCTCTTGTTTCTATCCATTCCTATCTAATTTTCGTCTTCTACTTTGCGGCTGCTTCCCCGGAAGAAAAGAGAGGCTCCAGGTCTTCTTCCGTCTCTTCTCTCTTCGGCAATTACCAAAAGGGGAAAATTCCCCCTATTCCCAAAAATGCCCCTGGAATAAGGGTTGCTGCTTGAACTCTTTTCCTGATGACTGTCAAATTAGCACTTGTTATCGTATTTTCGTCCTACTCCCTGTAATAAATGCAAATTTCTAAAGTGAGTAAAATCTGACAATTAATCCACATCGAATCAGGTAATAGAAAAAATTAATTATAAAGTAAATGATAAAATTGCAACCTATCAAATAATCACTCCTCTAGAATACTATATATCACGTTGAAGCAATAGTCATATGTTGCAAACGAGATGGAGTACAAATGAGGATTCGAAGTGGCGGCCATGATTTCGAGGGCACATCCTATAAGTCTGAAGTTCCATTCATCATGCTTGATATGAGAAATCTCAAGTCAATTAGCGTTGATATTGAAGGAAATAGTGCTTGGGTTGAGTCTGGTGCAACAATCGGCGAATTGCAGTATTCCATTGCTGAGAAAAGTTTTGCTCATGCCTTTCCTACTGGGAACTATCTAGGCGTTGGTGACTTGGTGTTGGTGGACACTTCAGTGGTGTTGGTGGACACTCGTGCCTTTCCTAAAACACACACACTTTACAAATACTCATTTGGAAATTTTTACTAAAACTTGTTGCTCCTCAAAATCTATTTTACAAATTAGAAATATATTAACAAAATGAAATATTACAACAATTAATTCTCAAAACAAAGATCACTTTGAATGACATTGTATAATCATAACTTCTTAACTAACAAGATTCATAATAAAACTAAGGATGGGTAGATTACTAATTACATTTTTATTTGTTACAACTCTCGCAATTATTAGCATTCTATAATGACATTATTTTGTGATGTCATACGACATATCTTGTATTAAAAACTACTGGTGTGTTTCGATTGCAGCTATTTCTCAAAAAATTATTTGCTTGTTTCATAAACAAATTTTTTAATATATATTTTTATCTTTTTAATTATCTTTTTATATCACATATATCATATCACAAAAAGTACTATAATAATTATTTCAAATATTCACGTCCAAACACACCCTTTATTATAGTGATCTACTGGTTCAATCTAGCATCCATTGGGAATCCGCTGACCCATCCATTTCAGTGTGTTCCTCCCCGAGCCTAATTTGATAGGCTTGTTTTGCTTTATATTGCCTCCGGGTAGTGCGTGCATATATAAAGCAAGTGCTTTATATCACTGACCAAATGAACCTAAGACTTACTGAACCTGTTAGGGAGGTAGAAATCAAAGAAGCTTTGTTTTCCATGAACCCAACAAAAGCTCCTGACCCTGATGGCATGACACCAAACTTTTTCCAGAAATTCTGGCATATCCTTAAAACAGATATTATTCAAGCCATCAAAAGCTTTTTCCATTCTGGTCATATGCTCAAAGCTGTTAATCATACCATCATATCCCTGATACCTAAGGTAGAAAACCCCATTGATATAAAGCAGTTCAGACCCATAAGTCTTTGCAATGTTATTTACAAAATCATATCCAAAATTTTGGCAAACAGATTGAAAAAAGTGCTGGATAATTGCATCAGTAAAAACCAGACAGCTTTTGTGCCTGGAAGACAAATTTTGGATAACGTTAGTCTCTCATGAGTACTTGCACTACCTCAAAAACAAAAGGCAGGGATCTCAAGGTTTCATGACTTTAAAGTTAGATATGTCAAAGGCCTATGACAAGGTGGAGTGGGGCTATCTGAAGGCAATGATGATCAAAATGGGATTCTGTAAAAAATGGATCAACTGGATCATGGAGTGCATCACAACAACTACCTTCTCTTTCAATATAAATGGGGAAGCAAGAGGATATGTGACACCTTCTAGGGGAATTAGGCAAGGTGATCCCTTATCACCTTACCTATTCTTACTAGTCTCAGAAGGCTTCTCCAATCTTTTGGCTCAAGCTGAGAGGAACTAGAAGCTGACAGGAATGAAAATTAGTCGAAGTGGACCATCAATCAATCACATTTTCTTTGTAGATGATTCCCTGATTTTCTGCAAAGCTGATACAAATCAAGCTGAAGAGGTGCTGAGGATATTGGAAACATCTGAAAAAGATTCAGGACAAATGATAAACATGGAAAAGTCTTCAGTTTTCTTTAGCAAGAATGTGGCACAGGAAGATCAAAAAGAAATTTGCAACAGACTAGGAAATTTAAAAATGGTGCATCAAGGAAAATATTTGGGGTTGCCAATGGTCATAACCAGAACCAAGGAACAAATCTTTGGATATATCAGAGACAAGTGCCAGAAAACTATCTCTAATTGGTGCAACAAGAAGCTTAGCCAAGCAGGAAAAGAGGTGTTACTGAAAGCAATTATCATGGCTATGCCAACCTATGCAATGTCCTGTTTCAAGCTTCTAGTGAAGTTGTGTAAGGATATACATGCCTTAATGGCAAGATTCTGGTGGGGAGGGGATAATGAAAAAAGGAAAGTTCACTGATGCTCATGGAAAAAGATGGCAGCTGGAAAGAACCAAGGAGGATTAGGATTCAAAGACTTACAAGCTTTCAATAAAGCGTTGCTGGGTAAACAAATCTGGAGGCTCCTCACAAGCCCAAACCTGCTGATGAGTAAGGTGATGAAAGCAAAGTACTATCAGAAGGAGTCACCGTTGAGCTGTGAAGTAAAAGGCAATTCATCCTGGATATGGAAAAGCATGATGGGAGCCAGAGAGGAGGTTAGGAGAGGAGTAAGGAAGAGAATTGGAAATGGAAAGGGGACCAAAATTTGGGAGGACGCTTGGATCCAGGATGGCAAAGAAGGCAAGCTAGAGTCCCCTAAACCCTCAGGGTGCCTGATAAGCAAAGTGAGTGAACTGATATCTAATTTTAGATGGAATTCACCACTTGTTTTCAGGACTTTTAATGCAAGAGAAGCTGGACAGATACTTAACATCCCTATAAGCCTAACTGGTAGACCTGACTGCTACTCCTGGAGTCATAGTACCAATGGTCAATACACAGTTAGATCAGCATATGAGGCAATTACAAGGGAGAGTAAGCAGCTGGAAACAGACAGGAGAGTGAAGGGAGAGTCAAGCTGGGAAGGAGGCAGTGAAAAAGTCTGGAAACAGCTATGGAAGTTGAAGATAAAACATAAACAAAAGCTGTTTATATGGAAAAGTCTGAACCAAGCCTTGCCGGGTAGGGAAGCAATATAAAAACGAATAGGCAAAGGTGACACAATCTGCAAGCTGTGTGGAAAAAGTAGTGAGACAGTTGAACACATTTTCTTTCATTGCACAAAGTGTCAAATGATATGGCAGATGGCACCCCTCCAGTGGGATGGACTTAAGGAATACACTGCTGATTTCAGAAGATGGTGGAATATGTTAATGGAGGCATAGGCCAGACAGGAGGGACTGGAACATATAGCTCTAACAGTGGAAATACTCTGGCAGATCTGGAAAGCTAGGAATGCAGCAGAATTCGAAGAGAATGATAGACATCCAATGGAGGTTATTAGGAAAGCAATCAAGGATTGGGAGGAGTATCAACAAACTCAACAGATGGAACATTGGATGAGCATCTCAGAAACAGAAACAACACAAGAAGATGAGGAAAGGGTGAGGGAGGAGGATTATTTGCTAAACATTAGTGTTAAGGTGGGACAACATGCAGAAGGCCAAAACATGGGAATTAGAGTTACAGCAGAAAATAACATAAGCCAGAAATGTGCAGCTTGGATACTGAAAGAGAGAAGTACTGGATCAGCTGTGCTGGACAACTTTTTGGCCATCAAACTGGCACTCTATAAGCTAAACGAGAAAGGGTGGCAACATATCAAGATCCAAACACCATGCACTCAGATTCTGAATATGATACGACTTCAAGCTGCTAGCAACTCAAGGCTGGCAACTCAGCTGGAGGATATAAGAGATCTTAGCTCAATGTTTAGGAAATGCTCATTTGATAGCCTGCCTGTTGAAGTGAATAGACTCAGTGAAAAACTGAGTAAGCTAGCTATGCGTGTACTTTAATGAGGAACTCTAAGCTCCTCAGTGGTTTGGTCCACTTTTGTAAAGTCTAAGTTTGAGCCCTTGCTCATATAATGTGTTTGTTCTCATTATTATTCTGAATAAAATTTCTATCGTTTCTGGAAAAAAAAGGGTAGTGCGTACACGCTTTAACCCGATGGCTTGGACCTAATGAATACAAAAATAGTAACCGCTTTCTGAAATATCTTTTCCAGTCACAAGTTTCAACCGGGTTGGTTATCGTCTGTCGATTGAAGTTCTTAATTTGAGTCTAGATAGTAGAAGCAAGAGAGAATGGAGTGGATGGCGAGTGAAGAGAAAGACGGCAGCGTAAATTCTTCAGTCGCTCAAGCTATCGATAATTCTGCGTCATTAGAAATTGATCAACCTACAGAAAGTACTATGTCATCAGGAAAGAAGGTAGATAAGAATTCTGAAGTTAGTCTTCAAGCAATTGCTTTCTTCTCTTTGGGAGAAAATAATTGGATTCAAAACGGTGGTTCAAGAAAAATCTTTTCGATTTTGTCGAGGTGGCGACGAAATTGAACAAGCAAGAGTTTACCATTTTTGGCCTGGAAACAATGTAATCCTCCATTTGCTCTTGCTTTACGTTCCAAAGCTATTTCTTATCATTGTACTTTGCTGAATCCTGATAAAGCTTTTAGTTTATTGGTTTAAATCAAAGAAGAAATGGAGGATTTGATGCTTACGCAAAAAAAAGAAGAAGAAGGATTTGATGTTGGACGTCTTATTCTAAATGTAGGTATTCTTTTTCAAGGGGAGACTGATTTGTGGTCCGGATCCAAAAGGGCTGATTTTAATTGCCATTGCTATTAGTCTATCAAGTTGGACATTTGCAGTTCATGTTGCAAGTGACATAAGGAATCCGGCCATCATCGTAACATCTTCAATTTTGACAACAATTGTTAGTTCTAAACTAAATTTCACACACACAAACACACACACTTGTATGAGAAAGTTGTGAACGTAACCGAATGCCCTTATGTAACTATATATTGCCCTCAATGCAGGTTCTTGTGAGCTTGGTATTTGTCAGTACCATTGATCCTGGTATAATTCCTAGAAATGATCTAGGAACAATTGATGCTGGTAAACGCAGAAGGAGATCAAGGGTAGTTGTCATAAATGGGATAGAGGTGAAGTTGAAGTATTGTAACATTTGTAACATTTATCGTCCACCAAGAACCTGTCATTGTGCAACTTGTAACAATTGCATCCAACAATTCGATCACCATTGCACCTAGATCGGGCATTGTGTGGAACTGGTATGTATGATCACAAGCCTGCAAGTCCTTCTGGCATTAAAATTAGTTTACTAACTATAGCTTTCTAATTTTTTTCTTTCAAAATGCAGAGGAATTATCGGCTTCATGTAACATTTCTATTGACAGGACTGCTCTTGTTTGCCTTCATGTTTATCTTTTCATGCAAATCACTACATCACAAATTGCCCGGAGACGGCAATGGGGTAATTGGATTGCTAAGAAATGACCCGTAGACTGTGGCATTGACATTATTCAGTTTTGTAGCCATGTGTTTTCTTGCTGGCTTTTCTTGTTATCATGTTTATCTAATTGCTATAAACCAGGTTTGCCCTTTATACTTTCATTTATGCCAACAGTACTAGTATCATCACGGTTGATCTCAAAGTTGAATTCATGCATATTTTTCTTGCATGATTGTATTTCATGTATGTCAAATATATTAATTAACGGGAAATTCTTTTGAGAACAGTACTGAATTTTTGGTACAACAATTATTTAAAGTGCACAGCTTTGAGGAAATTTCTGCTTTGGCACATAAACATAGAAGGCCAGTCTAAATAGCTGCTTAAACAAATTATGATGCAATTTCTATATTATGCCTTGTGCAGACATCTTATGAGCATTTTCACCAAAAGTATGTGAACTCTAGAAACCCCTATGACAAACGAATCCTAAACAACATTAAGGAGGTTCTACTTGCTTCACAACTACCCTCTAGAGTCAACTTTCGAGCAGATGTGGAGCCTGGATGGTTTGGTGGATTGAGTGATATTAGCATCAAATGATTTTATTGCATATTTAGTACGTTTGCTAGATGATTTCCTTGTTTCCTTCAATTTACTTGTCCCATTTAGAATTGCATTGTACCATGTTTTGGTAGCTGAATTTCAAGTCTGAGATTGATTACAAGATGGACAGGGATAGCATAGATTATGAACCTTTTTAATTAGTGACTACATAATCATACTTCCTCATCGTTTCAAACATTTTGCTGCATTTGGTGCTAGCTAAACTTTGCTTATGTAAGTTTTCCAAGTTTGGTTACTTTAATTTTGTCATCAACATACCACAATTAGGAGGAAATGCATCACTATTTATTATGTCAAATTAAGATGAAAATGTTTTGAATCTTCAACCTAGGTATTTATGTATATTTTTCAAATTATAAATTGGCAGTTCGCCTCTAACATACTCAGCATCGATAGATCAAAGGCATTTTGAATTGAATTTTTGAATTCTGTCGAGTTTGAATCATTTTACAAGTATTGAAGTAATTCTTGCCATCCAATTTCTTTGAAACTACTAGAATAAATTTATTATTTGCACAATTTTTTGTTTATTGTTTGTTAGATCACTTGCAAAGTTGTTTCCAATGCAATAGAGTCATGAAAAAAACTTTATGGCTTTATTTGGATTGGCAAATTTAACGAAAGATTTAAAATTCATCCAAACCACTTTAGTTATTTGGATTGATAAAGAAGCATTTGACTTTGTAATTCACCAATTATCAATATATATATATAATATTAGAATAATTGATGACTTATAAATTCAAATACCTCCTAAATAATCCAAACAACTACAGGGATTTGAGAGAATTTTAAATTATTCGTCAAATTTTTGAATCCAAACGCAGCATGAGAGAATGTAGTATCCCCTTCCGGTCACCTAAACTATTTTTTATGTTTTTGGATACTATAAAATCAATTTTAGCTACTCCCTCATGTAATGTGTTTCACTTGTAGAGCCACAACAAAAGTTTACAGGGGTAAGGTTGTGACGACCCCACCTCTCCCTAAGGCGTACCAAAGGGTTCGGCGGACCGCCTGCCCAGCTCTCGCCAGGACTCACTCACTATCTCAAACGAATCATATACACACATCCATGAACCATAAATAATATTCACAATTCAAACTTATAATTTACATTGATAAGAATCGAGTTTCAAAGTCTTAATACACCAAACTAGTTCAAATCGTATACAATCCAAGTACAACATGTTCCGTTCGAGGAAAAGCGCGAGTACAAGACCAAAAGTCAAAAGTCAAAACAAAAGGCTATACTAGTCTTTTACAAGTCTCTCGCGTCACTCGTACCCCTGTAAGGAAAACAAACTAACGAGGTGAGCCAAAGCTCAGTGAAGTTCCCAAATATCAAATTGGTTAACAACCAAGTTATAGCAAAATAATAGGGAAATAGCGAGCAAACAAGTCAAATCAGGGAAATAGCACTTCAGCTAACCAAGTAGTCAGATTCACATTCACATATAAGGATACAGTACTCATTTCCAGCTCCATTCCAGCTTGGTCAAGTGGTAGTTGACACTCCGTCAACTTTCAAGTAATATCAAGTCCAAATAAACTCCACTACACGCCAATTTCCGTCCACCGATCAACCCCCTATTCCGGGCCCGCACGCCATACAAAACATGGGTGGTAATACTCGAGTATACCGTTAGTCGAGGAGATAACACTCCACTCGACATTACAAGTGACCCAGGGTTTGTTATCTAATCGACCAGGCCCTTGCCGGCTCGACTCGATTAACTAGCCACAGGGTTTCTGGAATTCCAGGCAAGATATAATTCAAGTACATGTACAACAAGTCAAGTATGATCAATAGCAAGAACAGGTCATATTAGGGCAAGTGCGATAAAGTACACCCTTGCCCTTTCATTCATTGTCATGTAATCACGCCAGTCAAGTAAGAAGCACACATATCAAGTACAATTGGATATTTGGAAGCACTCACCAAAATAGTGCTTCTAGTGCTCGTGTCTGGGTGGTACTCCGAGTTGGGAGTCCAAATCTGCGATAAAACTTAACTTGAGAACTTTGAAAATCAACTAAGGTTCGAAACTTAAGCGTTTCGTTCAATAAGAATCAAGAAATTGAAGTTCACTTGAAAAGAGTCGTGAAATAATTGCTCGCTCTTCAAACTGAAAAATTTGATAACATTTTTGCTTGAAGATGACCCTTGAGTCAAAAGTGCAAGTAAAACGGTTTCGTAGTGATTCAAACCGTTTTCCTAAGAGTACAAGTTCGGCCAAGTCCTAACGTATAACCCTTGATAAACAAGTGGCAAAGGTCCTCGATAGTTCAGGTGATAATCACTTAACCTTCACTCAAGTCGCAAAGATAGTTTTCTAGACTTCGAGTAAAAATTCGGGCAGCATGCCCTTTGTGTTTACCTAATTTCCAGCCATTTAGGCTTCATTATTTTTCTTCAACAACAACCCAACATCACACATAAAAACAATTCAATCCAAGAGCCGTTCCCTAGGCTCACAATATCATAACAACAAGAATTGCATCAAGTACAAGTGCAGAAATTCAATGTGGCACAAGACAGATTTGACGTATAAAAGCGGAAATAACTTGTCCGAGGCTACGCTTATCGGATTAAGGCGAAACCTATGCCGTTTCGAAGCTAAGACACAAAGCTACAACATTCATGAAGGTCACTTAGTCCATTTCCTAATGTAACTTAGTCAAAATCTCAGATTACTAAACCAGAAACCAATTCACCGGCTGTTTAAACGCAGAACACTGTAATGGATATAACTCAGTGTACACAAGTCCGAATCAGATTTTCTTTGAGGCATTTTAAAGCTACTTCAGAACTCTACAACTTTTATGTTTTGGCCCAGAGCTAAATCAGAATGGATCCTGGTCAAATATCGTGATAACTGGACTGAACTGAAGAAACGGACTGCTGGGAAATTCTTAAAACAGTAGGGGTATTTTGGACTTTTCACGTTCTGCGTTGCTCCGATTGAGCTGAAATTTTGTAGGCACCTATAAAACACCATTCTATACAACTTTCCTTCTTTGAGCAAAGGCCAATTCAGCCTCTAACATACAGATACAATTTCGGACAGAATGCTTGGGTAATTTTCCAGAAATCTGGAATTTTTAGCTCTAAGTGTAATTTCCTCAAATTTCTGGTTCTAATCACCACTAAACAACCTTATATAACCTTAATTGCAACATTTACACATCATACATCACATTGAGCAGAAAATCAGAAACCCTAGTTCATCAAATAAATTGGGGAAAAACTTCTACACATGCTAGCATCCATGAATCCACCACCAATCAAGCTACTAAGCTCACTTTAACCATGATTGAAAGAGAAAGTTAGAGAGATATCATCCTCTTACCTTGATTTGAGTTCTCCAAGTAGCCCCAAGCTTTCTCTTCCCAAATTTTCACCACCAATCACTAGATAATCACTCAAGAGTAGGTTTAATCGGTTTACTTTGTTTGATTTCGCACTTTGTTGGTGGATTGAAGAAGAAATGGAGAAGAGTTTTGTTTTTCCTCTCTTGTTCTTACTCTCTCTCTCTCTCGGCTCTTAGCAGCAGAAAATGAAGAGAAAATGCTAAGTATTGGAGTTAAATGGATGGAGTTTGTCTTGGGTAAGAAGCCATGAGGTGGTGACAAGTGTCACCACCACCACCCTTTCTTTTTCTCTTTCTTTCTTGCCTTTCTTAGCCACCAATTTTCGGTCAACATGCTGCCAAGAGAGAAGATATTATGTGCAAAAGTCAACAACTTGTTGGGTAAGAAAAATGGTGGTCAAGCGGTGCGTTCAATCGGTAATGCGTGGGACCCGCCGGTTCGCGCCGTTTTTCTTAAAACTCACGTACTAGGGTTTTTACTTCTCATTCACTAACCTTATACCATTGCCACTAGTCACATCTTATTTCTCACTTAAAAGTCACTTTTACTCATCAAATTGATCCTTAGCCAGTACCGAAAATTCATCCGGCGGAAAAAATCGAAAAACCCTAATTTTGCTCAAAACGTGAAACCAAAGCGTAAAACCTTATTTTTTTCTAGGTTTACTTACTCTTAGTGTGAAATAATAAGGTAGGGGCTTTGATAAATAATAATTTTCAAATAAAAAGCATTTTTGGGAAAAAAATGTAGGAAATTTGCGGGTCCTCACATCCTCTCCCCCTTAAAAGAATTTCGACCTCGAAATTCATACCTTTTGTCGTGAACAGGCCAAGATACTTTTCTTGCATATCCTTTTCTAGCTCCCAAGTTGCTTCTTCCACTTCGTGATGCTTCCATAGTACCTTTACTAAAGGAATCTGCTTGTTTCTCAAGTCCTTCACCTTTCGATCCAGTATTTGAATAGGTCGTTCTTCATAGGTTAAAGACTCGTCAAGTTCAACATCTTCGGGTGGCAAAATGTGAGTCGGATCTGGATGGTATTTCTTAAGCAAAGAAACGTGGAAAACGTCATGGATCCTAGATAAACTAGCTGGCAACTCAAGTCGATAAGCCACTTTTCCTATTCGCTGCAGTATATTGAAAGGTACTATGTATCGTGGTTGCAACTTTTTTCCTTTTCCTGATCTAATCTTTCCCTTTAATGGTGTAATCCGGAGAAACACCTTATCCCCTATTTCAAACTCCAAGTCTTTCCTCCTATGATCGGCATAGCTTTTCTGACGGCTTTGGGCTGTTTGAAGTCTCTGGCGGATCACTTTCACCTTTTCATAGGCTTCCTCAACCCATGGTATAGTAGCTGGATCTATTACTTTTCTCTCTCCTACTTCATCCCAATGGATTGGGGATCGACACCGTCGTCCATACAAGGCTTCATATGGGGCCATTTGAATAGAGGAATGATAACTATTGTTATACGCGAATTCAACCAAAGTCAAGTATTGACTCCAACTTCCTTTAAAATCCACAATACAGGCTCTCAACATATCCTCAAGAGTTTGGATAGTTCTCTCAGATTGTCCATCAGTTTGCGGGTGATACGCTGTGCTATAACTCAGCTTAGTTCCTAGAGCCTCTTGTAATTTCTGCCAGAATCGGGATACAAACCTAGGGTCTCTATCCGATACAATACTCACAGGTACCCCATGTAATCTCACTATCTCATCCATATAAAGTTTAGCAAGTTTCTCCAAAGGATATTTCATATTTACTGGCAGGAAATGTGCAGTCTTGGTTAATCTATCCACTATCACCCAAATTGCATCATGCCCCTTTTGTGTTCGTGGCAATCCTGACACAAAATCCATCGTTATGTGCTCCCACTTCCACTCAGGGATCTCTAAAGGCTGTAACAAACCTGACGGTTTTTTATGCTCAGCTTTTACCTGTTGGCACGTAAGACATTTTTGCACAAACTGGGCAATCTCCGCCTTCATTTTCTCCCACCAATACAGACTTCTAAGATCTTGGTACATTTTATTATTCCCTGGGTGCACCGTATACCTAGAGCAATGTGATTCTTCTAAAATCTCCCTTTTCAATTCCTCATCCCTAGGTACCACGACACGATTTCGAAACTTTAAAATTTCATCAGGGCTTAGATTAAAATTAGGTAACTCCCCTTTCTTCACTCTCTCTACCCACTTCTGCACTATTGGATCCTTCACTTGGCCCTCTTTGATTCGTTCCATCAATGCCGATTTCGCCTCAATATTTCCAAAAACCACCTTTTCCGGTTCCAAACGAGGTTTCCACTCACATACATCTTCCAATAGGCTCCACTCTCTCACTATAGAACTTGCTAGTTGAGCCTTCCGGCTTAAAGCATCTGCTACAACGTTGGCCTTTCCAGGATGGTAGTTAATTGTACAGTCATAGTTCTCCAAGAACTCTACCCACCGACGTTGTCTTAGATTCAACTCCTTCTGGGAAAACAGATACTTAAGACTTTTATGATCCGTAAAAACCTCAAAAGTTACACCATAAAGATAATGTCGCCATTTCTTCAAAGCGAACACTACAGCTGCAAGCTCCAAATCATGGGTCGGGTAATTTTGCTCATGAGTTTTTAACTTTTGGGATGCGTAGGCAATCACATTCCTATTCTGCATCAACACGCACCCTAGCCCTTCTTTCGAAGCATCGGTATAAACCGTATAACTATCACTCCCACTAGGCAAAGCTAAAACTGGAGCCACAGTCAATTGTTTCTTAAGCTCTTGGAAACTACTTTCACACTTAACATCCCAAATATACTTTCCTTGTTTCTTGGTCAGGTTAGTCAAGGGTCCTGCAATTCTCGAGAAATTCTTTATAAATCTGCGGTAGTACCCTGCTAAACCTAGAAAACTCCGTACCTCTGTAGGATTTTCTGGCTGCTTCCACTTAGCCACAGCTTCCACTTTTGCCGGGTCTACAGCAAGGCCATCTTTTGAAATTATGTGACCTAGGAACGCCACACTTTCCAACCAAAATTCACACTTACTGAATTTAGCAAACAGTTGGTGCTCTCTTAGGGTTTGCAGTACTATCCGCAAATGTTGTTCATGTTCTTCCCTTGACCTCGAATACACTAAGATATCATCAATGAACACCACTACAAACCTATCCAAGTAAGGTTTGAACACTCGATGCATCAGATCCATGAATGCTGCTGGGGCATTGGTTAAACCAAAAGGCATCACTGCGAACTCAAAATGCCCATATCGAGTATTAAACGCCATTTTTGGCACATCCTCCTTCTTAACTCTTAATTGATAATACCCTTGTCGCAGGTCCAACTTAGAAAATACTACAGCCCCTTGTAACTGATCAAATAACTCATCTATGTGGGGCAAAGGATATTTATTCTTAATAGTTACTGCATTCAGCCCTCGATAGTCAATACACAACCTCAAACTTCCGTCTTTCTTTTTAACAAATAACACTGGAGCTCCCCACGACGACTCGCTCTCATGTATAAACCCCCGTTCTAGCAAGTTCTGTAATTGCACCTTTAATTCCTTAAGCTCAGCAGGTGCCATACGATAAGGAGTTTTAGAAATGGGAGTGGTTCTGGGTACTAAATCAACCTTAAATTCCACCTCCCTTTCAGGTGGCAAGGACTTCAACTCCTCCGGAAATACGTCCGGGAATTCACTGATTACTGGCATGTCTTCCAACTTAGTCTTTTCTCCTGGAGTGTTAATTAGGAAGGCTAGGTAACCACGAGCCCCACGACTAAGCAATTTCCTAGCCCTTATACCGGAAATAAGTGCAGAAGAGGCTATCATACCCCTCACATCAAGCTTTAGTGTTGCCTCCCCCGGTATACAAAATTCAACCACCTTCATCTTACAATCTACCCGAGCATGATAATGAACTAGCCAATCCATACCTAGGATGACATCGTACCCCTTAATGGCTAGACTAATGAGGTCCACTACCAATTTTCGTTCGCCAATCCAAATATCACAATTCCTATACACCTCATTCGCAAGCAAAATTTGATTACCTGTAGGTGTTCTTACCTCTAAGTCACAAGGTAACCTTTCAACTTTCAAGTCAATTCCAAGCATAAATGCAGGATTAACAAAAGAGTGAGTAGCACCGGGGTCTATCAAAATTCTAGCTAACCGATGAAAAACAGGGATTGTACCTTCTAGCACCCTGGTTGGTTCAGGCACAGTTGTTTGATCTAGCGAGTACACTCTGGCCGGTACCCTCGACCTGGCCCCTCCAGCAGTAGTCGGCTTTGGGTTTGACCTGACAGTCGACTGAGTGTCATTGATTAGCGGACAATTGACCATCTGATGATCCGCACTTCCGCACCTCAAGCACTTCCGAGCCTTTCTCCAGCACTCGTCCTCAGTGTGGTTCGATTTTCCACAATACCCACATGTCACTCGGGGAGTGGAGGTTTGACCTCCCTGAGTAAAACCTCTACCTTGACCTCTACCACCTTGGCCTCCCCTCTGGGCATTCCCTCTCGGAGCACTGCCCCTAAACGTGTTTGAGAATCGTCCACCTCCAGCTCCACGACCGGATTTAGCAGGTGGCATGCTCCGCTCGCCTCGTACCGACCCTTGGGCTCCACTAGGTGCCCCTTTCCGCTTAGCGTGGAAATTCCTTACTTGCGTCCTAACAGTTTCTATCCTCAAGGCCTTCTCCAGAACCTCCGTGAAAGTATTGATTTGAACCGCTGCTAAGGCTTCTTGTAATTCCACATTTAACCCTTGTATAAACCTTCGTACTTTCCTTGGTTCCGTGGCAATCAATTCGGGAGCGAATTTGGACAATTTGGTAAACTGGGTCTCATACTCAGTTACACTCATCAGCCCCTGACGGAGTTTAATGAATTCGTCCTCTCTCTTCTCCTGGACGATGGGTGGAAGGTATTTTTCGTTGAAATCCCGCACAAAGTTTAACCAAGTCCATACAGTTCCTTCTCTCTCCCATTTGGCCCTTACCACATTCCACCAAGCCCTAGCTGGCCCCTCAAACTGGAATACAGCAAATTGAACTTGTCTCTCCTCAGTATAGTTTAGGGCAGCAAAGATATTTATCATGGCCTCCAGCCATTTCTCAGCCTCATACGGGTCTGGTCCTCCTAAGAATTTGGGTGGAGAGAATTTCTGGAATCTCTCCAAGGCTCTATCTTGCCCTGAATCAGGGTCTATAGGTTGATTTACAGAACCTTGACCCTGTTGCTCCACTAACCGAGTCAAAATATTGGTCATCTGTTGGATGGCAGTGGCCACCTGATCTCCCCCGGCAGTCTGGGGTTCAGGTTGCTGCTCAACCGTTGCCTCCCTCTCCTCTCTCGGTTCAGGCACCGGTTCCTGTACTTGTTCACCTTCACGGCCTCGCCTAGAACCGCGTTCTCGGTTAGTTTTCTTGGTCCGACTCCTTTTATCTTCCATGTTTGAGAGTCAACCAACTATACGCATATAAACAAAATAAGGTACGGGTCGTATAACACGTTGCAACAGAATAAATAGAGGCAATCGAGCATGTAATAAACAAGCACTTTATACATATAACAACCAAGCCATATATACAGGCCAACAAGTCACGTAGTCAGAGGCTATGACAGCCAAGGAACATAGAACAAAAGATATTTACATCCACCAAGACACGTCTAAAACAAAAACAAAAGAAGACGTGTCATCCCACTATGTTCCTAGCTATCCCACAAAAACTCCTAAAACCCCGATCCTAACAAGTGGTCTGGCTAGACGCCGACCCAACCGACTCTGAGGACGCGCTCGGCTCCTCCCCTGGGTCCTCCTCAGGATCCTCATCCGGATCCTCCTCAGGAGTACCAGGGACCTCAGGAACTACAGGCGCTTGGCCTTCCTCGGCCAAGTCCTGTATCACATCCTCTACAAGTGCCTCGCACTCGGTCAGGATGCGGTCGGTCCGGTCTCGTATATCCCCAACGACTCGCATCAGGCGTCCAGTCGTCGCATGAGCCTGGTCACGGTAAGCATCTGACTGCTGCTGCTCTGCCAGAACTGCGGCCTCCAACTCGCGTATCCGAGCTCCCTGATCTCGGAGAGTGGCCTGGAGACGCTCTATCTCCGCAAAGCACCTACGATTGGTGCTACCCAATCGTCTCCGCTCGTCATCCACGGCGAGCACTACTCGGTCTGGATAGGAGTAGGTCCTCCAGCAATCACAGCGCCGGATCTTGCGCGCTGGGGACCACCGCTGCACTGGCCCGCCGGGAACCTCCTGGTATGTGATCACACGGCATACAGGGCCCGCTAGATATGGCTCGACCACGGGAGCGTCAGTAGGTACGTCAGTAGGTACGTCAGTAGGCACCTCAGGCACATCAATAGGTACCTCCGTCGGTATGTCAGTAGGTGCGGGCTGGGACGGTCCAACACCCCCAGAAGAGTCAGTGTCTGCCATCACCTAGGTTTGCAAATAACATTGCAAGGGTAAGTACACATCAAGCACAAAACAAGACTAAGGTTAAGCTCGATAATAACACCCTAGCCTATCAAGTCAAGCACTCAATCTATCCAGATCAATTCAAGCCTAAGCTCTGATACCACCTGTGACGACCCCACCTCTCCCTAAGGCGTACCAAAGGGTTCGGCGGACCGCCTGCCCAGCTCTCGCCAGGACTCACTCACTATCTCAAACGAATCATATACACACATCCATGAACCATAAATAATATTCACAATTCAAACTTATAATTTACATTGATAAGAATCGAGTTTCAAAGTCTTAATACCCCAAACTAGTTCAAATCGTATACAATCCAAGTACAACATGTTCCGTTCGAGGAAAAGCGCGAGTACAAGACCAAAAGTCAAAAGTCAAAACAAAAGGCTATACTAGTCTTTTACAAGTCTCTTGCGTCACTCGTACCCCTGTAAGGAAAACAAACTAACGGGGTGAGCCAAAGCTCAGTGAAGTTCCCAAATATCAAATTGGTTAACAACCAAGTTATAGCAAAATAATAGGGAAATAGCGAGCAAACAAGTCAAATCAGGGAAATAGCACTTCAGCTAGCCAAGTAGTCAGATTCACATTCACATATAAGGATACAGTACTCATTTCCAGCTCCATTCCAGCTTGGTCAAGTGGTAGTTGACACTCCGTCAACTTTCAAGTAATATCAAGTCCAAATAAACTCCACTACACGCCAATTTCCGTCCACCGATCAACCCCCTATTCCGGGCCCGCACGCCATACAAAACATGGGTGGTAATACTCGAGTATACCGTTAGTCGAGGAGATAACACTCCACTCGACATTACAAGTGACCTAGGGTTTGTTATCTAATCGACCAGGCCCTTGCCGGCTCGACTCGATTAACTAGCCACAGTGTTTCTGGAATTCCAGGCAAGATATAATTCAAGTACATGTACAACAAGTCAAGTATGATCAATAGCAAGAACAGGTCATATTAGGGCAAGTGCGATAAAGTACACCCTTGCCCTTTCATTCATTGTCATGTAATCACGCCAGTCAAGTAAGAAGCACACATATCAAGTACAATTGGATATTTGGAAGCACTCACCAAAATAGTGCTTCTAGTGCTCGTGTCTGGGTGGTACTCCGAGTTGGGAGTCCAAATCTGCGATAAAACTTAACTTGAGAACTTTGAAAATCAACTAAGGTTCGAAACTTAAGCGTTTCGTTCAATAAGAATCAAGAAATTGAAGTTCACTTGGAAAGAGTCGTGAAATAATTGCTCGCTCTTCAAACTGAAAAATTTGATAACATTTTTGCTTGAAGATGACCCTTGAGTCAAAAGTGCAAGTAAAACGGTTTCGTAGTGATTCAAACCGTTTTCCTAAGGGTACAAGTTCGGCCAAGTCCTAACGTATAACCCTTGATAAACAAGTGGCAAAGGTCCTCGATAGTTCAGGTGATAATCACTTAACCTTCACTCAAGTCGCAAAGATAGTTTTCTAGACTTCGAGTAAAAATTCGGGCAGCATGCCCTTTGTGTTTACCTAATTTCCAGCCATTTAGGCTTCATTATTTTTCTTCAACAACAACCCAACATCACACATAAAAACAATTCAATCCAAGAGCCGTTCCCTAGGCTCATAATATCATAACAACAAGAATTGCATCAAGTACAAGTGCAGAAATTCAATGTGGCACAAGACAGATTTGACGTATAAAAGCGGAAATAACTTGTCCGAGGCTACGCTTATCGGATTAAGGCGAAACCTATGCCGTTTCGAAGCTAAGACACAAAGCTACAACATTCATGAAGGTCACTTAGTCCATTTCCTAATGTAACTTAGTCAAAATCTCAGATTACTAAACCAGAAACCAATTCACCGGCTGTTTAAACGCAGAACACTGTAATGGATATAACTCAATGTACAAAAGTCCGAATCAGGTTTTCTTTGAGGCATTTTAAAGCTACTTCAGAACTCTACAACTTTTATGTTTTGGCCCAGAGCTAAATCAGAATGGATCCTGGTCAAAAATTGTGATAACTGGACTGAACTGAAGAAACGGACTGCTGGGAAATTCTTAAAACAGTAGGGGTATTTTGGACTTTTCACGTTCTGCGTTGCTCCGATTGAGCTGAAATTTTGTAGGCACCTATAAAACACCATTCTCTACAACTTTCCTTCTTTGAGCAAAGGCCAATTCGGCCTCTAACATACAGATACAATTTCGGACAGAATGCTTGGGTAATTTTCCAGAAATCTGGAATTTTTAGCTCTAAGTGTAATTTCCTCAAATTTCTGGTTCTAATCACCACTAAACAACCTTATATAACCTTAATTGCAACATTTACACATCATACATCACATTGAGCAGAAAATCAGAAACCCTAGTTCATCAAATAAATTGGGGAAAAACTTCTACACATGCTAGCATCCATGAATCCACCACCAATCAAGCTACTAAGCTCACTTTAACCATGATTGAAAGAGAAAGTTAGAGAGATATCATCCTCTTACCTTGATTTGAGTTCTCCAAGTAGCCCCAAGCTTTCTCTTCCCAAATTTTCACCACCAATCACTAGATAATCACTCAAGAGTAGGTTTAATCGGTTTACTTTGTTTGATTTCGCACTTTGTTGGTGGATTGAAGAAGAAATGGAGAAGAGTTTTGTTTTTCCTCTCTTGTTCTTACTCTCTCTCTCTCTCTCGGCTCTTAGCAGCAGAAAATGAAGAGAAAATGCTAAGTATTGGAGTTAAATGGATGGAGTTTGTCTTGGGTAAGAAGCCATGAGGTGGTGACAAGTGTCACCACCACCACCCTTTCTTTTTCTCTTTCTTTCTTGCCTTTCTTAGCCACCAATTTTCGGTCAACATGCTGCCAAGAGAGAAGATATTATGTGCAAAAGTCAACAACTTGTTGGGTAAGAAAAATGGTGGTCAAGCGGTGCGTTCAATCGGTAATGCGTGGGACCCGCCGGTTCGCGCCGTTTTTCTTAAAACTCACGTACTAGGGTTTTTACTTCTCATTCACTAACCTTATACCATTGCCACTAGTCACATCTTATTTCTCACTTAAAAGTCACTTTTACTCATCAAATTGATCCTTAGCCAGTACCGAAAATTCATCCGGCGGAAAAAATCGAAAAACCCTAATTTTGCTCAAAACGTGAAACCAAAGCGTAAAACCTTATTTTTTTCTAGGTTTACTTACTCTTAGTGTGAAATAATAAGGTAGGGGCTTTGATAAATAATAATTTTCAAATAAAAAGCATTTTTGGGAAAAAAATGTAGGAAATTTGCGGGTCCTCACAAAGGTAGAGATACTATGAGTAGATTTTGGCAAACTAGAATATATAGTTGCGGCTCCAAAATATTCAAATTTAAAGGGCTTTTTAAAA